GCACGGCCACCTTGACGGCCACCTTGATCAGGTCCTTGATCACCCGCTGCGCCTGGGGCCGGCTGTGTGTGTACTCTTTGGACACACGGTAGAGCTCATCGAGCACCTGGCTGCTCGTCTCATCGATGAAGAGATGAGCCACAGACCGACCCGCCATCTTACTCAGTAGCTTCTTCTCGGCCTGCAGGACCAGACTCTTGGAACTGAAGGACTCCATGGCTCCTGGGAGAGGGGTGGGGAGGTGAGGTATGGGGTCAGTCACTAGAAGAAAGGCCACAGGCTTCCTTAGAAAGAGAGAAATGGCTTTTCCCCTTTCTGTCTCTGGTTTCTGTCTCATCATCATCTTTGTCATCTTTTTCCCCCTCGGCCCCCTCAGCCCTCTGTGCCTTGTTCCCATTTTCCCCTTTAGTACTGTGGGAAATCTTGATCTCTAAAACAGCCTTGAGGAGCAGTCCTAGCTTTGGCTGGAGGACTGAGGCGCACAGGAAGCTAGCCCACCACCAGTTAAGACCTAAGGGGAAGTAAACTGTTGCTAGTACTGCAGAGCAGACAAAGCTACCTGGCAGGTAGCTCTCACAGCTGCCATTTTTGGATGCTGGCTGGGTACCATACATCTATGGGCTGTAGGTTTTACTGTCCTTGTTTTACAGCTGAGCATACTGAGGCTTACATTAGATAATGTATCCAAGTTCAAGCACAACTGGTTTTCTAACTCCAGAAGCCGGTGTCAGCTGGTGTGCTGTACTGCCTTACACAGGTGAGAGATACAGCGGTCCCGGGAGTCCTGATAAAGATAATAACTAACATTTATTGAGAACCTACTATATGCCAGGCGCTCTATGTGAAATATCTTAGTCTTCCTAACTCTTTGTGAGGTAGGTATCCCCAGTTTGCAGTGAGAAAAATGAAGCTAAGAGAAATTAAGCAACTTGACTGAAGTCACTAGCAAATGATAAAAGTGGGCTTTGAACCAAAGAATCAAAAGAAACCTCCTTCCCTGGAACGTTCCCGGTGAGGCTGAAGCGCAGCGAGGAACCCTGAGAGACAGGCCGTCAGGGCAGTGCTAGAGGCCTCAGGGCCTCTGCTGCGACTGAGCCGAGGACCCGGCGGCCCGTCAGCTGCGTGTGTCCAGGGCGTGCTCCCCGCGGCCTTCGCCTGTGCCGTTCTGCTTGTTCTGCTTCGTACTTCCCCCTCCCCTGCTCTGCAGGATGTGGCTGCGACCGCAGTGAGGAGCAGCCTCGCCCTCTCCCCCAACCAAAATGGGAGTCTGAAGAGGCAGGGGAGGTGGGTGGCTGGGGGTATTCTCCCCCGGCCGAATCAGTCCGCTGGGAACCTGGAACCTCGCTCTGCTCCGGGCTTTGGTGGGGGCTTTCAGAACCACGCTCCACGGCCGGAAGAGGAGATTGCTCCATGTGAGCCTGCCTTCCTCCTTGGCCTTCCTGTTACCCAGCTCTCACTGCCCCCGATGCCATCTCACATTTGCTCCACTGTCTTCTCCTTCTCTCCCTGTTTCAGTCTCCCTTTTTCTCTTGCCTGGCCTGCCCTGTGATCCTCTGGCTATGCTCTCCCTCTGTGCCATGCTCTCCCTCTGGCCCTTGTGTCTACCTCCACGTCTCCGAAGGTTTTGCATCTCTCAGTAGCCTGTCACATACCCATATCCATTGTCATCCCTCAGCCCTGCCCCCACCCACCCTGAACCACGTCTTTCTTTCTGAGGCTGCCTTGCCCCAGGAAAAAACTGAGCTGGACCTCCCCAGTGGGGACTCAAGAATTCTATCAAATGAGAGTCTCACAATATGGAAAACTCAGGCTGACAGAGCTGCGACTTTTCTGCCACCATCACCCTTATAGCCTACCCTTCTGTCATTGCCGGTCCCTCACCTGCTGTCCCCTGGGTGCCAGTCTTGCCTTGGATGTTCCGGGAGAGCTGACAGAATGGAGAAGCTCCTAAGTGAGAGGCCCTTTGGCCTAGCTCCACCTCCAAGCCCCGCCTCCCTGCTCTGTGCTCAACCTCCGGTTCATGACACTGTCACCCAGGTCTATGTCCCGAGAGTCTCCTAGAAATAAGACAGGGGTCCAAAGGAATACCACTCTGTAGGAAATAGGCTTGATCCTTTGAGGTGAGAAGGAGAGTTGCATATCCCTTGCTCCCAAATCATTTGTCTGCTTCTTTCTTTCCTTGTTGTCCAATTACTTGAGACTTTGTTTCTCCTTGTATTTCTGTGGTAATGGGGAAAATGTTAAGTACAAATTGCCGGGGTGGGGATCAGTGGGGCAAGTTCTGAAGTTTGAACTGAACTTAGACTGGGGATACCAGAGGCAGGTTAGAGATGAGCAGGTCTGAGTGTGTCCCTGGAGTCTCCAGGGAAGGGTGATGCATGGGGCATTACTGCAAGAATGTGTTTCCAGTGCCTGTCCAGCTGAGGGTGTCTACACCCTTAATACTGGGGAGAAGATGGTGCTGGGGTCAGGGCAGCCAAACCAGATATGACCAGCAGGTGTCAGCACATCACTGAACCATTAAACAAGCTTACTGTGCTTTGTAGCTGCTAACAGGATGCAAAAATGAAGGTAAGTCACAGTTCCTGCATGAGGCAAAATTATTTACCATCAACAATCTTGTAAGCCTGGTCAGGGAGAGAAATGGAAGCACACATAACTGTAATACAAGCCAAATGATGGCTTTAGCTTTAATAGAAGTTAAAGGAATTATGAGAGTAAAAAGCAATTTAGATTCTTTCTGATAGGAGGGCTGAAGAAGTAGACTTAGAAGGATGGATTTAACTACTTAATAGGCAGAATGTGGAAGAAATGCTTCTCACATAATGGGGATAAGCATGAGCCACCCAGCAAATAAAGATAATACAGGGCACATTCAGGAAGTGGTGATTTATTCTGTATGTCTGGAGCATAGGTTGTTTGAAAAAGAAGTGAAGGGGGGAAAAGACCAGATCATGGAAGGCTTTAAAGGAGTTGTTCAAGGCCTCAGGCTTTTGCTGTAGAGAGAAGGGAGACATTAAAGATTTTTGATTAGGGGAGTGAAATCATTAGCACAGTGGGAATGGGTTAGAGGCTCCAGTAAATTTTGAGCTGAGCGAAGGGCATGCTTAGAAGGAAGTGATCAGTGGTATAGCTTGCTTAAGCACAGGATGAGAACCAATGAAAGACCTTGGGATCAGGTGATTTTATAAGAAGTTCTAGCAGGCGGGGGGGAATTGAAAAGTTATCTGGCTGTGAGAAGTTGAAGAGTAAGTTGAAGTTAAGAAGTTGAGGCAGCCAGCATACCATTGACCCCACTGGCTCTCCAGTGGCTCTCCTTGGAGACAGTGGTTGGGTCTTTGTTCGTTTCTTTCTCCCACCTCTCTCAGCCCAGGGTCCAGATCTGAGGGTCCTTGATATAGGTTGGATTGGGAAATGTGAACAACTCCTTTAAGGAGTGTGGTGGTAAAGGGATGAAGAGAAATGGAAAGATAGGTTAAGGGGATGGGGAGCTGGACTGAGAGAGGAACTATTTTTAGTTTGGAGTTTGAGGACATTTGTAGGCTGAGACAAAGGAGCCGGTGGAGAGGGAGGCTTAGAAAATGTAAAGGAGAGGAGGTAATGTTTATGGAGCAAGGTGGGGGGGCAGATGGAAAAGAATGAACTGTGAGTTCAGGGGAGGGAAGTGAGAGGAGAGAGCAGGCGGTGCTGTTTGTTGGGTGCACTCCGCTAGATCGTATATAAATATCTCATTTCATTCCCTGATACCTTTATGAATTACATGCCACTGCATCCTTTTTGCTGATGAAAAACACTAAGGCTTAAAGAGATTAGATAACCTGACCCCAAATTAGAGAGCTAAGTAATGACAGACTGAGAACCTTGTGATTCCCAAGCCTCTGCTTTTTTCTGATAATGAACGTGGCAGTATTCTACTCCTGTATGCTCTGTCGCTTTACTGCTTTAATGCTCCCGGGGACAGTAGTAGGTGGCACTGCCAAAATCACAGGAAAAGTACAAGTCCTTTTTAAAAGAAATGCATAATCTAATTGGAAGAGAAGAAGAGTGAAAATACAAGTAGATGTAAATACACTGATACCTTCCGAATCCAGAATTCTGCCCCCAGCTCCTTGCCTGTTTACCTCTCCAGCTTCACCCTGTGCTCTGCTCTAGCCGTCCTGTAATTCTCTCAGCTCCTCCAGTACTCCGCATGGTTGGCTTCTCTCTCTCCCTCTCGTTCTACCTCTTCCTGTGCTCTAGACTTTCCTGCTTCTCATCTCTCTTCCCGTGCATACCTCTTCCCTGCCCTGTTAATTCCTACCCATCCTTCAGGCCTCAGCTGGAAAGTCGTATGAAGCCGTCATGACTGGGAAGCCATCATGACTCCCTAAACTACCTTAGATCCTCTGTTAGGTAGTCCTGAGAAGCTGCAAACCTCCCCTATTATGACAGTCACTCTTCATTGTAATTTGTGGCTTTATTAACTGCCTCTATATGACTGTAAACGCCATGAGGGCAGGGATTATACTTTAGTGCCTGGCATGACTGTGCTCAATAAATATTTGCTGGAAAAAAAAATTCAAAACACATCCAAGCACTAGCAGAGAAGGGGAAATGGTAGCAACGTAACAGTTACATGTTATATTATTGGCTTCACTCATGTGGAAGTCTTTCTTTTATTTTCTCTTAATCTATACCCATTTCTAGTAATCTTCTCTGAACCCACAGCATATAATCAGTAGCAAATTAAAAGAGGAAAGAGGAGCTTTCAGAAGCAAGAACACCAGTGAGAATTAACACAGATAGCAAGAGAAGGCTAGGAAAACGGAAAAGCAGACAGTTGGAAATTGCAGCGTTGCTGGCCCTGTAGAGGATGAGCAAACGGTATCAACTACACATACTCTAGACCTTGGGGTCCTCACTGTTTTCCTGGACAGAAGTTCACAGTGCTTCCTCTGAGTAAGCACAAATCTGGATAATGATGATATCTTAAATGTGTGAGGCACTGTGAGATTTACAAAACATTTCACTTATGTTATCTTACTTCATCCTGTGAGGCAGGCAGGCAGGTAGTGTCCACACGGAGATGACAGACTCAGCCTTAGAGATAAAGTGGTTTATCTTTGAAGGTCAGTCTATGTCTTAATGACTCCTAGTTGTGGTCTTTCCACTATATAATCCACAGGAAATTGATATCTTTCTGAATAATCCCTATTTGAAACAGTTAAAATGAAAATGTTTTGCATTTAATTGGGTAAATTCAAAGTATCTGGAAAAATACTCAGAATGGAACGTTCCTATGTTTCTGCTCAGCTGAGGTTTTCCCGTAGTTGGGATCAGGACTCTCATACCAGTTCAGGAAGAGAGAGTTGAGTGTGATTTGAAGCAGTCAAGCAACACTTCGGCCTGACATAGCTGAGGTAGTGCACACTTATTTCTTCCACTACTTACTATATTCCAGGCATTATGACTAAGTACTAGAGATACAAAGATAAAAGACAAGCTTCCTGTCTTTAGAGTAAGTGGTAAATACCTATGAAAAATCCAAATGAAAGTATCCAATAAGCAATTGTAAAAGTGAGTTTAAAGCTCAGGAGAAAGACCAAGATTATAGATTTTTATGGTGAGCAGCACATAAATAGTTATTGTAAATCTTGGTGTGGACTATCTTGACCAGTGAGGGTGTCTAGAGCAAGAAGAGCTAGCTCAGGATATGACCCTAGGGAACACCGACATTTAAGGAGAGATCAGAGAAGGCTGAGAAAGAGTGGCCACATTAAGAGAAGTGAAGCCATTTATTCACTTAAAAAAAATAAATCTATTAAGTCCCTAGCCTTTGTCAAGAGAAAGAAGGACCCAGGAGCCAAAAGAGGAGAGCATTTCAAGAAAGGAAGGGTCAGCAGGGCCAAATGCAAAGGATAAAAGAGGGCAAAAGGATAAAGACTGGAGAGCCGTTCATTGGATGTGACAAGGAGGCCATTAGTGGCCTTGCTGAGAACAATCTCAGTGGAGTGATGGGGGCCAGAACTAAAATGACTGAGAAGGTGGGGAATGGGTACAAGTATGGGTGGCTCTAGAAATTTAGCTGTGAAGGGAAGAGAGAAAGTGAGTGGTGGCTAAATACAGGCAAAGATCAAGGGAAATTTTAGAATTTTTTTTCTTTCAATCATGGGAGATTGTTGAGCATGTGTATATGCAGAGGGGGAAATGTCAGTAGAAAAGGAGCAGTTAGAAATGACAGAAGGTGGGGAGGGCATAGCTCAGCGGTAGAGCATGTGCTTAGCATGCACAAGGTCCCAGGTTCAATCCCCAGTACCTCCATTAAAAAATAAATAAATCTAATTACCTCCCCCACAAGAAAAAAAGGTTTTAAATGAAAAAAATTAAGGAAGGAGAAAATATGTGAAGACATATGGCATAAAACCCCTGAGTAGGAGACACAGAGTCGGATTTATTCAACCAATGTGTTAACAGTTAATAGCTGCAATGTGATAAATGCAAAGGATACAGTGGTGAGCAAGACAGACATAGGCCTGAGTGCATGGAGCTACAGTAAAGCAGAAAGGCGTGCCTTCGACAAGCATACGCCAAGCATCCTCATGTGCTGGGATGAGAGAGATGTGAGAATGCAGCTAAGTGCAAATCTAGAGGGCAAAAGGTTGGTGGAATTCCCACCTTTTAACCTCTGTTTTCTCTGAAGGTGGATGGGGGTTCTGCTAAGATGAGCAAGGATACTGTGAGGAAAGGATCTTAAGAAGCAGGCATTTGGCATAGTTACTTGTAGGGATTGGGAGACGGTCATTTTCCAAGCTTGGAGATCCTGAATTTATTAAAGGCTCCAATCTGTGCAACTGTGATTTTTTTCCTCAGAAGATCCTGGGGAATAGGAAGAGAATCATTTGGTTTGTCCTTTGGACTATCCCTCAGAGTCACCCATTTCTTTCCATACCCAATGCCAGCATCCTTGTCTGACTGGCTTTCTCCCCTCATCCTTAAACCTTCCTGTTTTCTCGCTAGAAGATCTCCTTGTCTTCTTGCTGAAATACAGCATTTGACAATAACACCTTTATCTGAGAATTTAGGATTGTGAACAGCCACACCAACACCAAGTTAACAGAATACATTTCTGACTCAAAAAACACAAAAAAACAAAACTTGAAACGATGTCCTGTTCGTATTCCTAGCAAATTATTTTAACCTACTCACTCGGTATCCCAGGCCTTCCATAATTTGCCTCCTTCTTCCCCTGCCCTCTGCTTCTAACTAGTATCTTTTTTACATATCACACGGGCCCTTTTTTATCCATGTTTCAGGTTCCATGCTCACCAAGTAAAAGCTTTTGCTGAAGCTGAAGCTGTGTTCCTCTTTGGAACACTTTCTCCTTTCTTTTGCACCAGGCCAGCTCCCACCAGAGTTCTCCCAGCCTCCGTGATAAAATATATCCACATCTTTCCCTGCTGTCACCATGAAGGACATTTATTGTTCTTTCTTTCATTTAGGAATTATGTTCAATGTAGCTTGGAGGGTTTTTTTTTTTTGAGACTTGGTATTGCTTTTTAAGCATTTAGTAGGTGTAAGTCTTGTTCTAATTCAAACAGATGGTCATTTTCTTAAACACTGGGACTGCATCCCACAGCGGACTGTACTTGAAGTAAGTGCTTAATATTTATTGGACTGAATTTAGATTTTAGTCGGGCCCTAAAACTTTAAATGAGTTACACCTTCATCCCCAATTCACTAATCTGTTCAATGAGCACATGTGTTAGGAGCTGGGGAGATTTCAACCTCTAAATGCCTGTATATTTTAAGGTGTCTTTCTCCTGAAACCTCTTTCCAACCTTTCAAAACAGTCCTCACTGGCCACTGAATTATCTTGGACCCAAGACTCCCAGCAATTAACCTTGTGTAAGTATTGCTCCATCGTTTCTGATTCTGTTTATCTCACTAATTCACCTTCCATCTCTGTCTCTGTGTTTGCATGTCTGTATCTCTTGCTTACTTACTGTGGGGCTTAGTCCAGCCAATGATGCTACCTACTCTGATCTCAGTCCAGGAAGAACTGTCCAAAAGTAGCAAACCTCTGCCCCTCCTTGCCTTCAGTCCAGAGACCAAGATGTGTGTGTCTGTAGGGGGGGTGCCCACTCAGATAAAACTATCCAAGAATGCCAATGTTTCCCATGCCACCCACTATCCTGGGAATTCTGAGAGCGCCTTTTGTCCTAGCCCCCACGCAGGGAAGAATCTTAGCAGGCAATACCAAGGTGGGAGCCAAGCAGTGCTGTCTGAAGTAGCCTCATTCTTCCTCCTCACTGACATTCCTGGAATCAAAGGGTCGTTATGGAGGTGAGGATGGAAAAGGAGCAGTTTTGCTATTTGAAGGGATGTCCAGGGCCCTCTGAGGAAAGATGGGACACGACTTTGTGTCAATGGGGTTGGAGCAGCTGGTTACTTTCCCTCTTTCAGGTTTCCGTGTTGCTCCTCTTTTTGTGTGACTCTCTGAGTCACTTTGTCCTGATCTCCACATCTCTCTTTTGGCCTCAGCCCCACTCACCTGTCCTCTTCTGTCAGCCAACAGCCTGACTGCTGGCCACCCTGGCTTCCTGGCTCCTTAGTTCCTGGCCTAGTGGTCTAAGCCCATCTTGCTTTGACAGTAGGGGTGGGAGGGGAGGAGATGTTGGGGATCAGGAAAACTTCCTGGTGACATCTTCCTTTCCTTTCCTAGGCCTCAAGCCTAGGAGCGGGCTAGGCCTCCCTTATCCAGGTCAGAATGAACCAGAGGAGGCACATGGGAAGAAATAAAGGGGTTGAGGTAAAAAGAGTAGAGAGGAGGAACAGAGGGTTGGAGGCAGAATAGGGGAGAGGTGTACCCAGGGAGCAGGGTAGCCAAAGCCACTGGGGAGGAGAAAGGAGGTCGTGCCGGCTCTGACAGCCCAGCCCAGCGTAGGTCCCGGGTTTCCTGTCTATCTCTCCTCACAGCTGCTCTTCCTTCCTCTCTTGTTGTGAGATTTCTCCCCAGGGCCTCCCCACATTAAAGCGCGTGACCCCTCCTCTGTCCGGGTCTCAGCGACTGTCCACGGATCTCTCGCCTGGCTTTGGTCTCTTCAGCTCAGCCTCCCGGCCAGGCCCTCTCAGTGGGCGGTGCCCCCGGCGCCCCCCGCCAACCTCCCAGGAGTACTATTGGTGGAGAGCTGTCGAGAAGGCGGTGTTTAGCTGGCCTCCGAGAACCGGATTAGTTGTGGGGACCCCGAGGCGGGCCGGAGGCGGGTCCGTCTGGGAGGCGGGCGGGGCGGCTGGGGCCCGGCCCAGAGCTCCGGGCGGTCGCATTGTTTTCCTCCGCGGAGCCGCGGCGGGAGTGGGGTTTGCGACTGGGACCCAGGGCTCGCTCGACCCGACAGCGCCCGGGAGCCCAGATCCAAGCTCCATCCAATTCAGACGCTCCCCACACATCACCAGAGCCCTAGCCACCGATTGCGAACTCGGAGCGGTGCGCGGCCGCTGCCGGCCCGCTGCGCTCTCTATCCCGCTGACCCGGATCTCCGAGCAAGTACCCCGGAGCAGGGCTGGGGCTGCAGGGAGGCGGGGAGGATCGGGGAGCCGAAGGCTGGGAGCAAGCTTCCGAAGTGCCAGAGGGATCTGCGAGGGTGCCAGCGCGCTGTGTGCCTGGATGACGGAGAGGGTCAGCGGAGTTGGGGTGCGCGGGTGGAAGAACGGACCGTGCCCCGTCACGGCGCTGTTGGGCTCAGGGTCTGGGCGCCTCTTCCGAGTGGCTTCTCCGAGTCCCATCCCTTGGACTGGGGAACGCGAAACGGGATTATTTGAGGCGCGCACCGTACAGAGGGTGGAAAACCTGGTCCCTTGCCTCCCCAGTAGGGAGATTAAGGCTTCGAGACCTGCGGAGAACCGGACCCTCTCGTTGCCTCTGCAGGGATGGGAAGGGGGACGCGTCGTTCCGGACTTTGGTGTCACGGATGCACCTCTGTCCTTGTGCAAGCGGGAGTCTGTGCACCTCCCAGGGGGTTGGCTTGGGCACAGAGTCGGGAGTGGGGCCCCTGAGAAACATCAGTCTTAGTGCCCATCTCCTCCTTTTCACTCCACTCGCCCTGGGGCTTTGTTAGACCGAGGTCTCTCAAGGAGGAGAGCCGAGCTGGCGACTGCATCTCGAGCCCACGGACCCCGCTCAGCGCTGGCCCCAGGCCCGCCTTCGTCGGTTCCAAGATTCTGGCCCTGTTTCCCTGGCCTCGGAGACCCGCCTCCGCTCCCCAGCCCCCGCTCCCATCCCCATTCGGTCTGCGCCTGCAGGCCCCTCCAGCCCCTCCTCCCGCTAACGTGGCTCTGGGACCCGGTCCCGGCCCAGACTCTGCTACCCGCCCCTCTCGGAGCCCCAGATCCAGTGAGGGGGAGAGACGTCGATCCCCTGGCCTCGGGCCCACCCCTTGCAAGGCTCTAGACACCTGGATTATCCTCGTTGGGGGCTGGGTGGGAGGGAGAGTAGGTACCGAGCCTAGGGCTGAGAGCTAAGGGTGAGGGGAACTGTCTTGGAGAAGGGAACGCGCCTGTTACTCGGGGCTCCTTGGCGCGCCCCCCGCTCCTCCAGAGGAAGGTGGACTGGGGCGGGTGATCAGCCCGAGAGCTTCCTGCTATTGTCCCCAGCCCGATCTCCCCTTCTCCATCCCTTCCCCAGCCCCCGCTAGCATCTGGCTATGACCCCGGCCACTCCCCAGAGGTGGCTGCTGAGCCAGGAGGAGAGAGAAGGGCTGTTTCCTCTTCCCAGCAAGGGGAGAAGCCAGGAGGGGGAGAAGGAATCGCCAGGCCTCTCTTATTTGCTCCAAGTGGGGAGGGAGGGGGTGTGAAGCAGTTGGGATTGGTCCTGGCAGGGTAAGCCTTTGCCCAGGCCAGGGATTGGATGGGGGCCCGCTCAAATGCTGCTCCCCCAAATCAGCTATAGGAAGCCCTCTTAAAGATATATCATAGTTAAGTCTAGGGGGCCAGTGTAATGGCCAACCAAGTGTTTTTAGAGGCTGGACTAATCCAATCTAAGGTTGGGGGTAGGGTGGAGAGATTGGGTGGGAAGGAGGTAGGGCCTGCTCTCTGGAAAGAAGGAAGGGACTGGGGGTGCTAGCTATCAGAGAGCATTTTGCCTAGAAATGAAGAGCATGCAAATGAGATGCAAATTACCCTCTATTGTCCCCAGCCAGGGCGCTTTTGCTAAGAAGGCTGCTGGATTCTGAAGGTTTTAATGTGGGAGTGGTCGCCATGCCCCACAAACTCTCCCAGTCACCCCTTTTCCCAAGACTAGTCCTGCAGTTGCAGGAGTTTCTGTTCAGGGGCCAGCCCCAGCCCCTGCCCTCACGTCTCTGGGCATGAAGCAGCCAGCACCTCTGCAGTCAAGCTCAATGTCTATGGGTCCCCCACTTCCAGGGCAGCATCTCCCCTACCCTAGCCTCATTAGACTTCTCCTGAATGTTCACGTTTACTTTTAAGGGATGTGGAAAGGAGGTGTAATTCAGTCTCTTCCCTCCTGTCCCTTCTTCCATCAGGTCAGAGGTCTCCTATCCCCCACAAACCCTCACAGGAGTCACCACCCCAGGTAAGAAAAGGGCAACACCTCCTGAGGGCAGGGGATGGAGGCAGGCCTGGGAGCAGGAAGAGGGTCCAGCCATTCTCCTCACTTGCCTGAGGCTGAAGTTGTTTCCTAGGTGAAGATATCAGTTGCCCAGGGCAACTTGGTGGGGGCAGAAGAGGGAGGATAGGAGACAAGCTGTGTCCTTTTCTCTTCCCCTGGGAGCACCAACATCCGGAAACATGGGAGCCTGCCCCTGGGGAGGGGGTCATCATTAGGTGCTCCTACCCCTTCCCCTCCTCCAGCTCTCTTGGGATCCCATCTGACGTCAGCCTCCCCACCAGTGACGCTGGATTGGGGATGGGGTACACTTGGGTCCTGGCTCCAAGAGCGGAATTATTGGGGAGAAGGAATGGGCTGGGACTGGAAGCCCAGAGTCTCTTTAGGGGACATGGCAGGACAGGCAACTAAGGATTGGTGAAGGATAGCTGGGTTCACAGAAAGGAAGGAGTCTCACCCTTCCTGATCTGATTTCCCCAGTGTACTCAGCCCCTCACTTAAACTGCAAGGGAAGGCAGGAAGCTGGTGTACCCCTCCCACTGTGGGTCCCAGCCAGGGTCAGCTTGGCTGGAGGAGGCTGATAGAGGCTGGTGAGTGGGAAGGAGGGCTGTCTCACTGTCCCTTCCACCATATCCATCTTTTCCTGGACTTTGGGCTACAATAGCCTGCCTGTCATTGAATTATTTATATTTTCATTCCAAGACAGTCCAAAGAGGGAAGGAAGGGAAAAGGGGGCATGTTCAGCCCTATCTCTGCACCAGTATAGCTCCTTCCTTGCCTGGCCCCTCAGAGAGGGGTGGGTTTGCTCTTCCCCCATCAAGTACATGCATTAGTTCTTCAGAATTAGGGAGGGAACAGGGGGCTAGAGAGGCTGGGAGGGGGCACAGTGGTCAGGCAGACAGCTGCAGCCAGAGCTAAATTTAGCCTCTGATCTGGCTTTGATGCAGATTCATTTTTGGCTAAGACAGCCCCCCTCCCCCACCCCCCTCCCTACCCAGCTTCTCCCTAGCAATGGGGAGAGCCCCTGAAGCATGAGCTTAGACCAGGACAGCCAACCCTAGGCTGCCTCCTCGACTCTGTTCTTCAACCCTAGACAGGATGATGGCTGCCTTACAGCTGCCTCTGCCAGGGCACAGCGACAAAATTGCTCCCAGGGTGCCATGGGGGTCTGTGAGGGAGGGGGAGGCAGACATGGTGCACTCTTCCTCCCTCCAGTGCCAAGGAGTCACTATTTATAATTTTAAGGCTTCAGTGTCTAATTATAGCTAAGAAGAGGTTAGCAAGAGGGGGGCCAGGAGGTGTCACCTACCGAATGTCCCCAGCCCAGTCAGGAGACAAGAGGAAAGGCTGAGTGAGAAGGCTGGGAGGGGGAGCGGCTGTGTCCTGTCCTTACCTGGGGTCATGCTGGCAGGCCTTGCACCAGCCAGTTTGGGCCAGTTGGAGAGGGAAGGGCCTTAAGTGACAGTGACAGCTGGTTGGGACTGAGACAGTGCCAGAGAGAGGGTTCTTACCCCCCACTCCACAGGGTCTTCTGGGGATAGACCAGGGGAGGAGTCTGCTTGCTTCAAGGGTGGGAGGAAACTGGCCCCTTACCCGACCCTCCTGTCTTGCCTTTCAGGGCCAGCATATGGGTAAGGGGGCACCCCCTGGGGCCTGAGCCGCCCCGCACAGGATGCCCCGTGCCCCTCACTTCATGCCTTTGCTGCTACTGCTGCTGCTGCTCTCACTGCCCCACACCCAGGCTGCCTTTCCCCAGGACCCCCTCCCTCTGCTGACCTCTGACCTGCAAGGTGAGTGCCCCGGTACCACGCCCCCTCTGTGTGAGCTTGGCACTCAGTCCTAACAATTAGATACTGGGACCCCTTGTGTGGAAGGCAAGGTGCAGGAAGGCTCTCAGTCTCAAGGAAGCTAAGAGCCTGACCAGAAAAGGGGAGTAGACAGGTGGAATGAGCTGGCACTTCAGATCAGTCACTTCTCATCCGTGGTCCTACTTTCTTCACTCCGAGGCAGCACTGTTTGGTGGTAAAGAACACGGACTCTCAGCCAGACCAAACTTTGGCAGGTTGGAATCCCTGCTAAGCTGCTCACTAGTTGTATGAACTTGTCAAGCTATTTAACCTTTCTTTACTTCAGTCTCCTCATCTGCAAAATGAAGATAATAATAGTATTCTACCTTATAGAATTATTTAGGGATTAAATGAGGTAATATAGGTAAGGTGCTGAGAACACTGTCTGGCACAAAGTAAATGCTTTATATGTGTTTGCTATTATTATTAGCTCCAAAATGAAGACTTGGAACTAATGCCGTGGTTCCTAACACCTGCTACCTCCCTTTCCACCATTTTACCAGTACTGTTAAGCCTGGGTCCCACTGTGAGGGAAACCATAAGCCAAGTTTTTCTGAGATAGACCTTTATCTATTTGCAGGTTCCTGTTATATATGTAGGATTTAGAGTAAATTTAAAGATGAAGGAACTGCAGTTTGGTTACTGGGAGTAACTGTTGGGGGATGGATAAGATTAGCAAACACTTAGCATGTGCCAGACGCAGTTCTAAGCACCACGCTAGTGTTAAATCACCTCTCCCTGAACTCTGGGCTCCCTCTGAATGCTGATGACGGCAGGTTCCGTGATTAGGCCAGGTGGGTGCTGGCATTGGTCAGAGGAGGCAGAAACCTTGGAGGGCTGAGGTGGCCTGTGAGGGGCCTTGAGGGGAGGGTGCAAACAGAGGGCTGGGAGAAATGCGGGTGAGTAAGTGCTCCAGATGGGACAGTGTACAATGTGGGAGTGAAAGGGAATCCCTAGCCCTAAGACAGTTCCATGAAGGGTCTGGGCTGGGCTCTGGAGTCAGACAGACCTGGATTCGAATTTGGGTGCCTGCCACTTCCAACTTAAATGAGCTATGTAAATTTCTTAATGGCTTTAAGCTTCAGGTCCCTTATCTATAAAATGTTAGCCCCTACCTCACAGGGTTGTTGTAAGAAATGAAACAATGCATCTAACGTGCTAACACAGTGCTTGGCAGAGGTTAACTACTCACAGTTAGCCAGTATTTTTTTTAATAACCTTATTAATAGCTTTATTAATACTTCACAACTCATCTCACATATCCACTATGTCCATGGCTGGGTTTCCTCTGGTTGGAGAGAGTGTTGAGGGATTCTGTGGTATCCTGGGTGGCCCTTGGCACCCACTTCTCTGTGCCTTCTAGGTATTTCCCCATTATCCTGGTTCCGGGGCCTGGAGGATGATGCTGTGGTTGCAGAACTTGGGCTGGACTTTCAAAGATTCTTGACCTTGAACCGGACCTTGCTAGTGGCTGCCCGGTAAACTGGCCGTGGCACCGTTGTGGGGTCGACATGCATGCTCCTGGGCAGACATGGGACTTGCATGGCCGCTGCAGCATCTTGCAGGGGACACATGCAGGTGTACAAGCCATGGGACATGGACATACTTGGACCCAGAGCACAATTGCCAAGGCATGGAGTAAGGGGGAGGAGACAGGGCAGGTCTGCACTGTTTGTCCCTGAGCAGCTGAACATGGGCAAGGCCGGGAGGGGGGTGCTCAGGAGCTCAGGTCAGGTGTGGTGGCTTGGCTCTTATCCCTCCTTACCTGTCCCTTCAGGGATCATGTTTTCTCCTTTGATCTTCAATTCCAAGAAGAAGAGGAGGGGCTAGTGCCCAACAAGGTGAGGGGCTGTGTGGGAGGAGGTGAGGCATGGAGATGAGGCTGGGAAAGGTCTAACGGGGGTCAAGTGGAGCCATAATGTGAGGTGGGTCCAGGTGGCCCCATGATTTTCCCTCTTCTGCTTCTCCCTCCAGTATCTAACATGGAGGAGCCAAGACATGGAGAACTGTGCCGTGCGGGGGAAGCTGACGGTGAGGAGTGGAATGCGAGTCTCTGCTTCCAGGCTCTCTCCAAGCAGCCTTCCACCCTGCCCAGTCCCCTGGCCCCCACTTCTCTCATCTCAGGTCACAGAGGAAAATGTACAGGAAAGGGAATTCATGATTTTTAGCTTCCTTTACACACCTCACAAAGAAGTGAGGCTCCAAGAGGCCAGAGAACTTGCCCAAGGCCACAGGACTAGTGAACAGCTTAGCTGGGACTTTACCCCACATTGCTCTGACGGCTCAAGGGGAATAGCCTTACTTCCCGTGACCCCCGCCCCACTCCCCAGGAGCCCTGTCACTGACCTAGAACTTTGGGTTCTCTAGGACGAGTGCTACAACTACATTCGTGTCCTTGTTCCCTGGGACTCCCAGACACTCCTTGCCTGTGGAACGAACTCCTTCAGCCCTATGTGCCGCAGCTATGGGGTACAAAGGCGAGGGTGGGGTATCAGGACCGGAGGGAGGAGAACCCAAGCTGGGTGATCAGTTTGGTGGGGATGGACCAGCAGGGCTGGGGGAACGAGGGGTGCCCAAAGTGCAGGAGTCCAGAAGGGGTGGGGGAAGGAGGTAAGGGGACATGAAGGAGTGGGCTACGGAGCCACACTCCCAAAGCCCCAAGAACCTGCTCCCTCTGCCTTCAGATAACTTCACTGCAGCAGGAGGGTGAGGAGCTGAGTGGGCAGGCTCGATGCCCCTTTGATGCCACCCAGTCCAATGTGGCCGTCTTTGCAGGTGTGCACCTGGGCGTGTGAGAAGCAGGCATGTGGCTGGAGGGAACTCCCACCTTAGCCCCTCTCCCAGTTGGGTCTTTCCCATGCTCCTGAGTGGAGGGTTGAGGTAGGGGCCAGGGTCAGGCGGAGGTAGGGGTGTGGGAAACCCAAGAAGAGCCAAGATACAGATCCCTGAGGCCTCCCCTGACCCCATCCTACCCATCCCTCCAGAGGGCAGCCTGTACTCAGCCACAGCTGCGGATTTCCAGGCCAGTGATGCTGTGGTTTACAGAAGCCTTGGGCCTCAGCCCCCACTCCGCTCCGCCAAGTACGACTCCAAGTGGCTCCGAGGTCAGGGCGGGCCTAGGGGAGGGAGGCTGCTCTTGGGGAGGAGGTGCAGGGGGAGAACTGTGGCAGGGAGCAGGCAGAAGGTGGAAGGGTGTGCATGTGTGCAAGGGGGAGAGGCTGTGTGGGGCCAGGAGTTTCTGAGCAGGTAATACATACTCTTCTATACACTTCCTGTCACTCCCCCTCAGAGCCACACTTTGTCCATGCTTTGGAGCATGGAGAACATGTCTACTTCTTCTTCCGAGAGGTGTCTGTGGAGGACGCCCGCTTAGGGAGGGTAAGGAGCTGGGCATCAGGGGTGGGCAGCTAGAGGGCTCTGCTGGACTCTGAGGAGCCAGTCAGTCAGGGGACAGCTCCTGACCCTTATCTCCTGATTCTGAGCCCCAATCTGGAGTAGCCCCAGGCCTCTGCCCCCACATCCTGCTGTGCCCCTCATCTTTGACCCAGATTGGCTGACCACACCATACCGTTCCTTTGCTGGCCTCTAACATTTGTCTCTTGGTGCTCTAACTCACCGCACTGCTCTCAGCTGGCTGGCCCTGGGTTCCTTCTCACCATCCTCCTCGTCCCTGACTCTCATCCCCCAGGTGCAGTTCTCCCGTGTGGCCCGTGTGTGTAAGCGTGACATGGGTGGCTCACCTCGGGCCTTGGACCGCCACTGGACATCCTTCCTGAAGCTGCGGCTCAACTGCTCTGTCCCTGGGGACTCTACCTTCTATTTTGACGTCTTACAGGCCTTGACTGGGCCTGTGAACTTGTATGGCCGCTCTGCTGTCTTTGGGGTCTTTACCACCCAGACCAATAGGTTGGTACTAGACTAATGTGGCTCAATCTGTCCCCTGCCCCACCAGCATCCAAATTCCCCTCTTAAAGCCTGTTGATGACGGCAATGAGGAGAAGCTCCATTCAAAGTCAGTTTGCTGTTCAGCCTAGTTTGTTTTTTTCTCCCAGCATGGCCCCAGGGGCTGCCCCACCCTGTCAGGCTCCCCCCTAATGTGGTGTATGAAGGGGAGCTGCCATGTCTCACTTGGGAGGAGCTGTGCTGTCCCTTCCAACACCTACCTACTTCCTCTTCTGGCTCCTTCAGCATCCCTGGCTCTGCGGTCTGCGCCTTCTACCTGGATGACATTGAGCGTGGGTTTGAGGGCAAGTTCAAGGAGCAGAGGAGTCTGGATGGGGCCTGGACCCCTGTGTCTGAGGACAGAGTCCCCTCCCCCAGGTACCCTGGATGGGGGTGGCTTTTGTAGGGGCAGAAGCAAGCAGTGCCTGCTCCCCAGATGGGATTAGGAAGAGGGTCCAAGGCCTGGGGATGGGGCTGGTGGGACTAGAGACCTGCAGCAGGGAAGGGAAGCAGTACTGGGGATGTCCGCGTACAGGCAGAGCAAGGGTTACCAATCATGTCTGGGAGCAGTGGGCCGGCGGTGGTCACAAAGCCTAACTCAGCCCCAGCTCCCTGCTCTAAGGCTGCCTCTTCCTATGTGTCCACCAGGCCAGGATCCTGTGCAGGAGTAGGTGTAGCTGCCCTGTTCCCCTCTTCTCGAGACCTCCCTGATGATGTCCTGACCTTCATCAAGGCTCACCCACTCCTGGACCCTGCCGTGCCACCTGCCACCCATCAACCTCTGCTCACCCTCACCAGCAGGTATGGGGCTAAAAAACACTGACCACTGCCCTCCTCCACCCAGCCACTCTCTTTCTTTGACCCCACAAGGTAAATCATATTGGTAGGAGGAAGAACCCATGAAAGTGGAAGGGAGAGGGCTAAGAAGGAAACCCTGGGCTAGGGGAAGGGCCCAGAAGTGGGTACCCGGACACATGGGCTGTCCTTGAAACACTCAAGCTTCCATTGGTCAGGCTGTCCTGACCTGAGGCCTATCCCTCCAGGGCCCTACTGACCCAAGTAGCTGTGGATGGCATGGCTGGTCCTTACAGTAATACTACAGTTCTGTTCCTCGGCTCCAATGATGGGACAGTGCTGAAGGTGCTGCCCCCAGGAGGGCAATCTGGGGGCCAGGAGCCCATTCTGTTGGAAGAGATTGATGCCTACAGCCCCTCCAGGTGAGCCCTTTGTCCAGCAGGCCCCCTGCAGAGCAGGGATGGGATGGGATGGGCTGTGAGGTGGTACTTCGGGATATGGAGGTGGGGTGGGAACTCCAACACTGGAAGTTGTGGGGAAGAAAGAGCGGCATGGCAAGAAGCTGGACAGTGTGTTGGGGCAGGGTGGCCATTCACGAACCCCAACCCTGTGAGTTGTACTCAGTTGCTTGTACACTTCCCTACCTCTGTTTTTTAACTCACCCAGGGAGAAAGAAGCCTCATCTGCCACATATCTGATTCCTTCTGGCCTCACCCTAGGTGCAGTGGGAAGCGGGCAGCCCAAACTGCAAGGCGGGTCATAGGGCTGGAGCTGGACACTGAAGGTCACAGGCTCTTTGTGGCTTTCTCTGGCTGCATCATCTACCTCCCTCTTAGTCGGTGTGCCAGGCATGGAGCTTGTCGGAGGTGAGAGGGACCTGAGGTCAGGCCCTGAAGGTGGGCTCCCTGGGCCAGCAGGCACAAAGGAGCACAGGCATGGGGGTGACAGGGAGATGCAGGGGATGGCTGTGGGGGATGTCTCAAGCATTCTGCAGGGGGGCAGTAACCAGGGACTGGACTAGGGACTGGGTGAGAGTAGATGAGGCAGGGGAATGGAATGTGATTAGAGGGTCCCAGCCTCACATGACTCAGTTTTCTCTAGGAGCTGTCTGGCTTCTCAGGACCCATACTGTGGATGGGATAGCTCCAGAGGCTGTGTGGATATCAGGGGACCTGGTGGGTAAGTGAGGGGCCCCCAGATCTCCTGAGGAGAAAGTTCCCCGCTACTCATAGCAGAAGCTGAGGGCCAGGGTAGGGGATGGGGGCAAGATGTATAACCGCTCTGAGCCACCACCATGTCCTCTTAGGACTGATGTGGATCCAGCTGGGAACCAGGAATCCATGGAGCATAATGACTGCCAAGGTAAACAGAAGGGCCAGGGGCAGCTGCAGCCATTGTTGAGCACGGCTCTGATGTGGGCTTTTGTCTTTCTTTCCTCCTGTTACACAGTTATGCCCATCAGTTCTGCATGAAGCTTCCCCCTGTTCTCCATCTTCACCCTCTCTCTCCCTTCTTCATAGATGGAGCTACTGGGAGTCAGTCTGGCACAGGGGATTCTGCTTATGGTGAGTTCTACTGTCCCAGCTCCACCTTTCCTCGTTCAGCCCACACTCACCCAAGTCTGTGCCCCATGGCAGCAGCAGACCAGCACCCTGGACACTCTTAGAGAATCTCAGAAAAGGGTTGCATCCTCCAAACACCTAGCATGTAGCTCAGTGCTTGGCACATAATAAGGTGTTTAACAGACAGGTTTTGAACAAATAAATGAAATATCCTGCATGGGGAGCCCTTCCCCATTCCCAGAGGAAAGTGGGGGCTGCAGTTCTGGACTTTTGGGTTCCAAAGCGGGAGAGTGGGGGACCTGCTCAATGGGTGTCAGAGGTGGAGAGCAGAAACCTCACTAGCTCTGACCTGGTCTCTGTCACCAGTGCTTCTGGGTCCTGGCCCTTCCCCTGAGACCCCCAGCCCCCCAAGTGATGCCCACCCCCGGCCCCAGTCTTCCACCCTTGGAGCTCACACTCAGGGTAAGGGGGCTGACTGGGAGGGACAGGAGTGAAGTGTGGGGCTGCTGATTCTTGAAGAATTCTAAGCCTCTCACTGACCGTTGTTTGGTGCTCACTAATAATGCCTGTTTTGAAGCCTCCTCTCCCTAGAGCCCCTTCGGCACCGGCACAGTTGTCAGTTGCTCTTGGCATGGCTACAGGGGCCGGAGCTGGGAGGGGGACTCCCCAGGCCCAAGCTCTAGCTTGTGTGCGAGGGGTAGTTCGATGGGCTGTGTGTGTTGAGAGGTCAGGGGGGAGGTGATTCCTCAAGAGGGTCAAGGCTGCGTTGGATTGAAGCTGAGCAGCAGCAGGAGAGCGTGACACTTCGGAGCTCGCCATCCCGCCCCGGCCTACCTTCGCTGAGCCCCCTCCTCCCTCTCGGTCGGCAGGCGTGCGCCGGGATCTGCCCCCAGCCTCAGCCTCCCGCTCCGTCCCCATCCCACTTCTTCTGGCCTGTGTGGCTGCAGCCTTCGCCTTGGGCGCCTCGGTCTCTGGCCTCCTGGTCTCCTGCGCTTGTCGCCGCGCCCACCGACGTCGGAGCAAGGACATCGAGACCCCGGGGCTCCCGCGCCCGCTCTCCCTTCGCAGCTTAGCCCGGCTGCACGGGGCGGGCCCGGAGCCGCCGCCACCGTCCAAGGACGGAGACGGGGCGCAGACGCCCCAGCTCTACACCACCTTCCTGCCTCCTTCCGAGGCCGTGCCCTCGCCAGAGCTGGCCTGCCTTCCCACCCCGGAGTCCACGCCGGAGCTGCCGGTCAAGCACCTCCGCCACGCCGGGGGTCCCTG